TCGGGCCCCGCCCGCGCCGGAGGCCTCCAGCAGCGCCCCGCCCACCTCGCGCCCCGCCCCGCCCCGCCCACCTCGCGCCCCGCCTCCGCGTCGCCGGAGCCGCCGGGGCGGCCGGCCCCCGCCGCGCGCCGGAAGGACGTCATCTCCCAGGTCCTTCCCAGCCGTTCTTTCTGTTTCCGGAGACGCCGCGCGGGCTGGCCAACGGAGGAGTGTGAGCCGGCTGCTCAGAAGCGGAAGTTCGTGTGTGAAATAGGAGTGATACGCTGCTCTGGGTAAGGCGGTGACGTACGGAAGTAAACGACCCTAAGCTGGGCATAGATGCTGCTGTCGGGATTACTGGCCCTGAGGGACCTGTGAGATCCCACACCCTATTTTGCACAGGCCAACCCACGCTTCAAAAGGAAAGTGACTTGGTAGTTACTAAGCTAAGGTAACAAACAGGTAGAACTGTTGCACCAATTTGGAGTACGAATATAGTAATATTTTTTACGGCTAGATGGTTGCGCATTCAATGCCTCCTTGAAAGAAGAGGAATACCTTGAAACGCTGAAGACCTTATGTCTTTCTCCGTGTTAGGGAGACCCGGAAGGACTTAACTAACGATGAAATAAGTCCAGTCAGCCCACCATTGATTTACAGCTTGTGTCATTACTGTCGGAGTTAGTAAAAGGAAACCAGAAAGGCGAGCTGTCATGCCCTATCACCTCCCGTCATGCGTAGGCCCAGCAGGAAGAGACCCACCTGTGCATGGCGCTTTAGCTACTCTATTACTCCAGCAGGAGGAAGAACGGGTCTCTCCCCAGGTCCACCAGCCCAACCGATGAAAAGCCGTTATACTTTAAACCCCTGGTTTACTCCCGTGGACTTTTTGTTTGTAACAGCCCTCCCAACTTACTCTGCAAGAGAATCTTCCTCTCCTTGGTTCTTGGACTTGTCTGTGGTTTTGACGCTGGCTCGCTTTCTTGGCCTGGATTGCAGTTCTCCGATATTTTGCTGGTAAGATAACTGGCAGTTTTATTTTTAAAGTTAACATTCCAAACAGTTCATGCACAATTCTAAAGATTTTTGTGTGCCCTGACTTGGTCTACAGACTGGCTTAGGTCCCTCCCAGGCCTTGAGCTAGTATAACTTTGGTGTTTTAGTTCAGGCTGTCGTAACAAAATACATAGACTGGATGGCTTAAACAACAGAAATTTATTTCTTACAGTTCCAGTGGCTGGAAGTCTGAGCTCAGGGCGCCAGTAACCAGGTTCTGATGAGAGCTTTTTTTCCTGGCTTACAGATGGCCACCTTACTGTGTCCTCACAAGGACAAGCTCAGCGTCGGCACAAACCCATCGTGAGCACTCCTGCCTGCATGATCTCATCTAAACCTAACTACCTCTCCAAATAGCATCACATTGGGGGTTAAGGCGTCAACATCTAAATTTGGGGGAAGGATACAATTTAGTTCATAGCCCTTGGTATACAGACCTATAGTTTTATTTATACTCACTGTTCAGACATTGTCTCCCAGAGTACCTGGGTCTCCAGAATTGGCTTTTCTTCCTGAAAGAACACCGTTCTTTTCTTGATCTCAAGTAACCAACCTGGTTGCCCCTTAATGCCCGGACTGTACTGCTACTTGGCCTTTCTTGAAGACTCTTTAGTTCACAATAGGAGACTGACTGGATTTTAGAAGTCAACAGCATTGAATTGAGAGTGGGAAATTTCCCAACAATATCTCAAGCAGGTTGTCATCTAACCTCTACTTAAATATAGCCAGAGAAGAGGTAATGTTAAATACACCCAATTCACTTACGGATAGCTGTCATTTTTTTGAAATATGTTCTTTTTTGAGCTAAAGACTGCTTGATTCTTTCAGCTATGCTTTGATCCTGCTTCTCTCTTCTATGTCCGTACAAAAATGTCTAATTGCAATTGTTTAAAACGTCAAGATAAACCTGCCATCTTTCCTGATTATCCTCCAAATGCACACCAGTGTATGAAAATCGCACTTAAAATGCATTGCCAAAAATATAACACTATAAATAGCATTTGATGATGATACTGTAAGGTCAGGTCTCTTGATCTGGAGACTCTTAAAAGTAATTTTAAAGAGGTGAATTTTATAATCACATTATGTTGACAGCTATACCATGGGAATTAAATAGACCCTTATCCTTACCTTTTAATTAATTCTGTACTAAGCAAGGTCAAAGACTTGGGAGTCCACATAATTTAATTCAACATCTTAGATTCTGGGAAAGTAATGGTGCTCACTGAAAGATACATGTGATACCTTGTTTCATCCAAGAGGGTTTAGGTATCTTCATTGTTTGAAATCATATTGTTAAGGAAAAGATGCTCCTCTGTTAACAGGCATACAAGAGCTTGTAGGAAGTAACTTTGTGTGTTAAGTAATAACAAAAGTTAAAATATTTTCTTTTTTATTACCAGATTTCCTCTAGTTTTAATATGCTGATGGGTATCATGATTTTCCAAAGAGAAAATATAGTAAGCAGTGTTTCTCAAAGATTTTTATTCTTGAAACACTGATTAATATCTTGTAGATGTGTAGGACACAGTTTGGGAAGTGCTGCCTTTTTATCTTTATTGATTTTTAAAGATATACATGAACATGAAATATAGAAAGATATGCATACAATACTGTAGCACAGAAAGATTGCAAAACAATAATGCTTGATCTTTTTAAAAACATTAATCAAAAAAAGAATGAAAGTGTTTCTTTAATAATGATTGGCTCTATAATTAATATTTTTCATATAAATTTCTGATTTAGGGCTATGAGTATGTAATAGTATACTTTTATAATAAGAAAAAGAAAACAGACCAATTTCCCAATCTAAAAAAATACAATGAATTATACACTTTTTATTAGTTTCCTATTGTTACAAAGCAAATTACCTCAAACTTAGGGGCTTAAGTCAGCACCAATGTATTGTCTCTGTCTGTGGGGCAAGAATCTGGCAGATTTTAACTGGCTCTGCTGAGGGTCTCACAAGGGTAAAATCAAGTTGTCAGCTGACTACATACTCATCTGGAAGCTCAACTAAGTAAAGATCTGCTTCCAAGCTCTCTCAAGATGTTGCTGGAATTCATTTCCCTGTGGTCTTATGACTAAGGGCCCCATATTCTTGCTGGCTGTTAGTCAGCCACTCCTCTCAGCGTCTGGAGGCTGTTCTACTACTTGTGAAGTGTCCTCCACCAACAGTTGCCTCCTTCCCACTTTTGAGACTTCACCTTCCTTTAAAGAGCTCATTTGAGTAGCTCAAGTCCACCCAGGATTATCTCCCTTTTGATTAACCCAAAGTCAACTGATTAGTAGCCTAATCACAGAAGTGATAACCTGTTATATTCACTGGTCTTGGCTGCAGTCAAGTGGGGGGATAATGCAGGGTATGCACACTAGAGTACAGCAATCATAATGACCATCTTGGAATTCTGCCTATCATACCACACGCTTCTTTAGAACAAGGGCCTTTTCTGACTTTGTAGTCCCGTGGCCTGGCTCGGTGCCCAGAACGTAGGAGATGGTCAGTAAATGCTTGTAGAAGAAGTTAAACCAGGTTAATACTGTTTCAAACAGGGTGTATTTAGGAAGGAAGGCCCCATAGTATGTATTGGAAGCCTCTCCTACTTCATTTTACTGGACTCATACAGTATATTGTGTGTTGCTAATCCTGTTTTGGAAGGCAGAAATGTTCATAGGTACAAGGGGAACAAGTGACAACCCAAAGAATTATGAACAAGTGCATTCCTCTTGTTCTCACCTGGTATGTCTATGCCAAGTTTTAGAACTTTAGCTGGAATTGTTAGTTGAGGCTCGTGTGGATCAGATATTTAATATTTTTAAAAAACCCTGTGATTCTTTAATTGGAAACTCTTAAGAAATAGACAAAAGGAAGTGGTAGCAGTAGTAGTTGAAAGACTGACTTGAGCTGGGATCTGTTTCATCAGTTATTGCTTGTGTAACCTTGAAAAAGTGGTTTAACCTCTGTAATCCTCATTCTCCCCATTTACAGATTTGGGGTATTAATTCCCACCTTATTGTTACTGTTGTGTTGGTTACAGAAAGCATATTATATGATTGTATATACGTAGAGATAATTGCGATGTAAAGCTCTCAGTTATTTTCTCTTTCTGGATATTCTCTCTCTCCATTCGGTGACTCTGGGAAGAGTTGAGTAAC